TTGTCTCACCCCCTAGCTCCTCCACCTGTCTCATTCTCCCCCCACAGTCCATCCACGTGTCTCATTCAACCCCCCAGTCAGTGGCAGAACTACCGCGGTTGCAGGGGTCACAGCTGCGACCAAGCTCGTCACTCCAGGGGGCCCGGCGGCCCTGCGGACCCCTGCTATCGTAGATCCCACCAGCTAAGTAATGTGGTAGAACTGGGTATGTCTGTGTGTGTATGTGTGTGTCTGTGTGTTTCTGTCTGTGTGTCTGTATGTATATATTTCTGTGTGTCTGTCTGTATCTGTATGTATGTGTTTCTGTGTTTTTATCTGTGTGCCTGTATGTGTGTGTCTACATGTGTATCTGTTTGCAGGGGGGGGAGGGATAACATTTAGGAGGCGGACGTCAGACGTATAGGAGGAGGGTGGTGGGGGGGTTGACATACAGAGGGGTCCCAGGGCAATTTTTTGCACCTGGTGCCCGTGGTTTCTAGTTACGCCTCTGCCCTCAGCCACTCCACATTTCTCATCCCACACCAAACCCTCCACGTGTCCCATCCCCCAGCTCCTTAATGTGTCTCTCTCACTCCCTCTATGTCTCACTCCCTCTTCACCCCTCCATGTGTCTCATTCTACCCCCAAGCCCCCATGTGTTTCTCTCAGCCCCTCCATGTTTTTCTCTCTTCCCTCCCCTCAATGTGTTTCTCAACCCCTTCCCCTCCCCAGCCCCTTTATGATTCTCTCCCACCTCCCTTCCCTAGTACCTCCATGTTTCTCTACCACACCCCCTCTGTGCTGTGTGCTCTGCTCCTGGCGGTCACTAGCCGAACGTGAGCCTTGGGCAGGTGTGGCTGGGCAGCGGCCCTGAAGTACTGCAGGAGGCCCCATATAGTCCCGCCACTGCTTCAATGATATTCGTGTTTTAAAGAGATATTGTTTTAGAATGTCAGTTGGATATTTTTCTAGTGCAGTGGTTACCAATCCAGTTGTGTCTGAGGTGTTTATAGAATAAAAATTAAAAAAAACAACATCTCAGACACAACAGGGTAATCCCTAAATCCTGAACTGTTAGGGGTACTTTGAAGACTTGGTTGGGAACCACTGCTCTAGTTGGTCAGCCATGACAGGTTTCACCTGCCATTGTACTTTAAACTATATTTATTTAAGATGTGTCTACTGGTGGCGGAGCTTGACAGCCGAGATGAGCGGCCGCAATACTCCAGAGCTCCGAGGCACAAACGAGAAAAACCCGAAAAATACCCATACTAACTACGCCTAAACCACGGCAGAAACCTCCGGCATACACCCTAACGAAATGGGACGCAAAACGAAAAAAACAAACCCGCGGAAAAACAACCCGGGACTCACCATAGGAGACATGTGGAGGCAGGCCTGAGGCGCAAACGAAGCCAACATGGCGGCACTCCACGGGGGATGCTTGGACTTCTCCGATGACCTCTCAGGGGAGGAATACTTACCAGTCCACGCGGCGGAAAAGCCCTCACCACCTACCAACACCACACCGCACTCCACACCAGTGACAGTGGCGATCCTTAAGCAATTATTAGCGGATCACCATGAGGAAATCCACAAGGACATCACTGCACTGAGGGGAGATCTAAAGGGGGTGACCACCCACCTAAATACAATGGAGAACCGTACCGAAACAAATACCGGGGACATAGAGGAACTCCAACGTACTGTGCAGGATCTGCAGATACAACAATTTTCACACGAATACCTCATGGCCGAGCACGAAGACGCCAGATGGCATAACAAACTGAAAATTAGGGGACTCCCGGAGGAAATAACAGATGCAGAACTACCACAGGTCATCAAACGCCTGCTCGCGACAATACTGCCACCCGCACAGGCAGATCACATACACCCTGACTACCTTTTCAGGATCCCCAAAGGGACCACCAGGGACGCCATAGTTGCTTTCCGGAACGGAATTGACAAAACGGCAGTACTGGATGCCCTGCGGGGCAGGACACCCCTTCAATTTGATAACAGGGCACTGAGTTTCTACGCCGACCTCTCCGACAGCACTTTGGCATGGAGACAAACCCTCCAGCCACTTACCATACTTCTCCACCAAAAGGGCCTCAGATACCGCTGGCGACCATCCCACACCCTGACAGTCCAGCAGGGTACAGACTCGCATCAGGTACGGGACTTGTGCAATGCGGCACCGCTCCTCCAATCATTGGGCCTACCTATGGACTCCCTCAACCCAAAAGGCCAGAAGACCCAGAACCCAGTATCTACGCAGCACAGATGGGACCCGACCAGAATTGTCCTGTTCATACCACAAGGCCTCACACCCGACCCATACGTTGCCGTTACCACATGAACTGCGACAGGCAGTTGCACAGGACACCTGACAAGACGACACGAACAAGGGCACCACACATGTTGCAAATCGCTCTCCAAGTGTCACCCAGACGCGGTTAGGACAGTCAATACAAAACCTATTCATAACGGTCCGAACTGTGTTTAACGCTTACAAATGCTAATAATATGCCTAATCACTATTAACCCTATTGCTACTTAGCTACTGTTGATACCTACTCTTTGTTCCCACCTTGATTTGACTACTTTAATTTAATATAATTGACTTTATCTTATCGATGTCGACCTCTAATGTGATATGCCATGTAGGATTTACTAACATACATCTGGCTAGAAAGACTCGACCTTAGCGCCCCAATCTCATCATACACCAGGCACTCCCATCGACCGCACCTCCCACACACACTCACTAACTACAAGACTACACTGCACTGGTGCACACTCATACACGCGACTACACAACTAAATACCAGCGAGGGGAAAAAATGTTTGGGCAGCAGAGTGGCAGGCCTGCCATTAACCGACATCGGCTACGCACCCCAGGGTGAACTCCCAACAGCAAGGCCCACTTGAATTTTTTTTTTTTTTTCACTTTGCTTATTTAGGCAGTTGCCTTCTTTACAGCACAATTCCATATATAATGCATAAATCACTTCATTGCCTGACATGTCTAGCAAGGACCTCGCCTCACACAGGGCAGCCACATTCTAGGGATTCCTATCTCAGGGTTTTTTGTTTCGTTAGTAACAAGCCTGTTGCCTATATATCCAGTCTTATTTTCTTTTAGAATCTGATTCCATAGGCTCTTAGTCATCACTGAATATAGCAAGCTCATAGGTCCCTCGTAACAATAACGGCAAGATTTGTACCCAGCCCGAATGCCAAGTCCGCTCACACTTAACTCCTTTATCAGCCTGTCCCCATCTTAAATGTGTTTGATATTGTTTTTTTCTCCTTGCATCTTGATAACTAGCATGTACAGCACCTAATAGGCCGCAGCTCAGATAGTTTGTTACTCACTAATCTCATAACGACATACCAGCTAGCCGAACAACCTACTTGTTTATTAATTGTTTATTGTAAACGCGCAAGTCACACCAGCAAGTTTTAAGCCACGCACCCGCATACCACTCATGTCTATACAACCCACATCAACCACGTCTTAAGTTTTTCAACATACTACACTATATTTACTCAATATAATTTTTTTCTTGTTAGTGCGTAGTAGCTCAAAACATTTTGTGTAAGTTTACATTTAATGTGTTTTCTCTTTGATTCTGCTTTAAATGACCCTTTGAACAACAATCTAAAATGTAAAGGAACACTCCAAGCACCATAGTCACTATAGCTATATTGCTCACTATTGTGGTTATAGTGTTTAGAGTGCCTCATCCCCCATTGTAAACAGTTATTCCATCTTTGAATGGTTTGATGCTTTGCCTGCAGTTCATCTGGTGCTGCTCCCTGTCTGTACTATTGACACAGGAGAGTTTGAAGTTCCTAAGCATTCTCTTCCCTTAGAAAACAAGTAAGGTGAATGGTAATTGCATAGCTCTCATGGCTCAGCTTATTACTGAATGCGATCAGTTTACACTCTCAGTCAGTTGAAGGGCTGAGTTCAGGAAAGCCAATGGAAGTATATTTATATATATATATATATATTATAATGTGATTATGTGTGTGTAATTTACCTAACAAAAGAGGATTGAAGGGTGCAGTGAGACACACAAAAAATTAAGTTCGGATGCCAACATATATTTCCTTCCCAGATGCCAAGAACCCTAGGTACAATATACAGGAAAGAAAAGTGACAGGGTTAACAGATAAATACAGAACTAAGATGAACCTCCTATGTATATATTATGGGTAGAGCACGCGCAAGACACACACTTGTACACAAAAGGAAACATATAAACAGAGAAAGGGAGAGATAAAGGTGAAAATACATGACTGCTGCACCATCTCTACATCCCCACCGTTGCCCC